CAGAGACAGCGGGTGATGAACTGACCACAGTACAGTACAAACATTAACAAACTTCTACAAAATGGGACCAGAATCATTTCCTGCTTTGAGCGTAACTGTATAAATGACGCATTTATACGTGTTAAAGACGTGGGGCTAGAAACTCTTACCTGAGATATACAAGTTATTTAAAATCCTGTTTTCAGGAAGTTTTTTCACTGTGCTGGGAACAGACAGACATGCAGAAATCACTGTAACCAGACTTAAACAACTTGCATACCATTCTCTTTCAACCTCTGCCTTAAATCAGGGTATGCTATTTAAAATTGTTCTTGAAGCCCACAACTGGACAGAGACAAAAAAATATTAAAATAAAACCCCACATATTTTATTTTTAGCTTTAAAGATGCAACTCTAAACAATCAGTAGAAAAAACAAGTAAAAAAAGTAAACAGCATTTTGTAAAATCACATTGAACTAATATAAGACTTAATACAAAGTTCTCACATACCACCTAAAGGCAGTTTAACAAAAAAAAAAAAAAAAAGAAACGTAGTTTGGTTTCCAAGACCCCTTCTATTTGAAATAAATCATTAAGTACCCACAGATTTTAACTATAAAACAAGGATACATTCTTTCTTTTTTCTTCCATTTATGTAGTCGATTGCCACATACTTCAATCATTTGGAAGTGAAATTCACGTAGTCTCAGTTACAGAACTGAAGAGAACACATACAATTCCATGACTGAAGTCCTTCCATTTTCAGAAGAGGCTCTTTATCAAGTGAACACTTGTCACATATCTTTAGACTGATCATCTTCTTCAAGTTTTCTGATTTCATTCTTTAAACAGTTGATGGTTTCACGACTTGCTTTTAGTCTTTCTTTAAGCTCAGCAATTTCAAAACTAGTTTTCTTCTTGGCGGCTTCCAGCTTTTCCCTGGTTTTCACTTCAAGATCTGCAACTGTAGTGGTGATGAAGAAAAATAAATATTTTAAGTACCACAAAAAGTTATAATTTTTTTTCTTTAATTACAACAGTAATTTGGATGGTGCGTGTCCTGAAAAAATCTATTACCATTAGCTTTAGAGATTCGATGATTGTAGTCAAAATGGTATCCAAGTAACAACCTGGAATTAAAAAAGCAAGCTTGTTCTGTGGCCGCATTCAGCCGATCAGTTTTGTGGATGGAGTTACATGATTCACTAAATCATTTTCCAGAGTTTTTTAAAGATTAGCTGGGAAAAAAAAAACTGAGATGGTGACAGCAAATAAATAGGAGATTACAGAGAATTACACGTAATTTATATGGGGTGCCCAGTGACAGGACCAGAAGCAATGGGCACAAACCAAAACATGCGAAGTTCCTCCTGCACATGAGGAAACACTTTTTCACTGTGAGGGTGACCGAGTGCTGGCACAGGTTGCCCAGGGCGGTTGTGGAGTCTCCATCCTTGGAGATATTTCAGAAGCCACCTGGACACAGTCCTGGGCAACCTGTTCTAGGTGGTCCTGCTTGGGCAGGGGGGTTGGACCAGATGAGCTCCAGAGGTCCCTGCCAACCTCAACCCTTCTGCGGTTCCTTTTCCACGCACTGTAACCACTTTCTGTCTCACTGGAGTTTAATTCTACGTATCTAAAAGATTTAGTGGTGCTGCCTTTGCTTTTATGAATATCTGACATTAGGACATCTCAATCTGGCTTATTGAGATGTCCTAATTCTATTTTTTTTTTTAAATTTGTTCATGCACAAGTTTTTGGACAAAGCTGCTAGAGCCCACAAATCCACGGAGGCCATGGATATCCCTTTATATCTCATACATTACATCATTGTAGACAGTGGAAAAAAAAAAGTCGTAATTTTTACCTGCTTCAGTAGCACATTTCAAGGAAATATATATTTAAAAACCCACTAAGAGTTTCTATCTACTCTCAGGAGGAACATCCAGAAATTTTAAGTGAGAAAAGTTTAAATTTGGACAAGACTTTTTTTTATGAAGCATTTTCCACATGTAAACTGTAACAACATGCAATATAACAAAAATCCACCTCAAGACTGGCTAAACTGAGGTAGAAAATACAAGCACCTCACACATTCACACGCCCAAACAGACATAAGGCAAAGGGGAACTCTAACTTTGTAGAGCTTCAAACCCATAACCACTCTTAGCTCTAGGTATTCACTGTCGAAAAATACCTGACATTTGTTGTCAGGAACACGCAGAGAAGCCAAAGGCCAGGTGAGCCGGACTAAGATGGCATTAGAGTTTGTAACTAACAAGCTAGGAGCTGGGCTCAATAAATATTACATTTGCTTTCTGAGAGTAGAAGATAAGAGATGAAATCCAGAAAATCAGAACAGAAATCATCACTAAATGCATTATATTTTATGAATCAATGTATTTTAATTTCACTTCATTTAATTCCCTTAATATTTTGGTTTATATTTAAAGAGAGATTAGATAAAAAGGATGCAAAGTACATTAAGCTATAACAAAGAAGTATGTTGTGAAATGACTCATGGTTAAAGAATGAGGCAGAAGGGAAAAAAGACAGGAAGAGCTGTCAGGCACCACTCTTTACCCCCCAAAGGGCTCCTGCTTTGACCTAAAGTCCATTTCAGTCCATTCCATATTTCAGTACTTAAAGTGTGATCTTTGCTTGCAGTTAATATCCCGATGAGCTGAACAGAACTGTACCACAAATACATTGGTCTTAATTTATTCTCTGTTTTAACTCATTTCAAAGACGTTAAACTAGGCGTAGATTGTGCCATCACTCTTCATACTGAGTAATTCATAATTCTTTTTTATTTTCAGCAAGCATACAGATCAGAAAATCTTAAAAAAGTTTTAAAGTAACTATTAGTATCTTTGCAAAAACTGAAGCTAGTTTAATGCAAAAATATTGATTTTTAGCACCATCCAAATCCAGTGTACTGTTACAGCCCAGAAAAAAAAAACCTAAAAGCAAAACCAACTATTGATTATTTCTAAAATCAGAATATTTTAATTTTCAACTTACACTCTGTTTCATGCTTATAAGCACCTAGCGTTAGTTGACGAGACGTTGTTAACAGCTGCTGCATCATTGCAGTGGGATCTTGAAATATCTAATGATTGAGAAAAATACACGGTATCACTAATACTCTTCAAAATAAAGTGAGGATTACATTAAAAATTTTCATACCATTTCATCATAGAATTCAGAAACGACAGTTTTCTTTCCCAGGATGGCATTGGTATCAGACTGAAAAAGCTTCAGCAAGTGATACAAGGTTACCTATACAAAGACAGAATTTTATTAGCTTGACAAGTGCAGGGAAATACAAATCATCTTCTAGATACAAACAAGCAGTATTTGTTCTTACTAAACAATTGTACAGGTTTTAAAAAATCTTGTAGGAATGCAAAAATAAATGTCATAACTCAGAATTACTCAAATTTAATATTAATGGTTAAAACACACCAACCATCCAAAGGTTTCTTGATACTTTAAAAATGTCTGGGCAAGTGATTCAGGATTGGTGTACAAAAACTCCTAAGAATACCTGCTCTTAAACATTCCCAGGCAGGTGATTTAGTTCAAACCGCCTTTCCCAATGAATCAGTTCGAGAGCACTCTCTGTGACCTTATCATCCCTTCCTGTGAATGAAAAACACTGCGGGGAGCCGGGGGATACTGCGAAGAGCTTTTCACTGAAATTTCTCTTTACAGATTTACTCTTCCATTAGTGCACTGCAAACGGCAGGAGCTGGAGAGGGAGGACAGCCCTCGGTCGAGCCCCAAAGAACCGCTGACCGCTTGGACCACGACCTGGGAAGAAGGGACGCAGCCCACAGTTCTTCCCTTCCGCAAACAGGCCTGGGAACGGTTGTGGAAGAGAGCGGTACCTTACTCCAGGCGGTGCTTCCTGGAAAGGAAGAACGCGACAGGCACCGAAACAGCCTCCCAAGAAGAGCAGCAAAGAAAAAACACCCAACCAACTTGAGGACAGCTTGGTCAAGCTGTGAATGGAATTAGTACGACGAGTCAGGATGCTACCGAGCACGACAGCACAGGAAGCCCTTTCTAGTCTAGTGTCGATTTTCACGTATTCAAGGACAACATAAGATTCAGCTTTCCTCTCATTTAGCAAAAAATGGCTAAAGCAAAAAGATCACTGTAGTTCATGTGACAGAAGGAGCTCAGTCCTTCCAGAAAGAAACATCCCCTTTCCCTAAAATATGGTAATCAAGTTTCCTACCTAAACCTGGATAAATCAACCTGCAAGATACGTCTAAAACACAGAATGAGAAGAAAGAAATTCATTCCAATGCTTTATACAACTAGAGAAGTGTCTTAACCTGGTTTTCTTAGGAAAGAGAGTAATGCTAGCATAGTGCCCTTACTGCCTTTTTACTGATTTTGGCCAAATCTGATAGACCAAAAAAAGAAGAAAAAAAAAAATTATTAAAATATTCAAATATCCTAGACCTAGGAAGCCACATGGAAAAGAAATCCTCGGTATGTGCTCAGCCCAGGTAAGGTGCCACATGCGGTCACCGAGGAGTAAATGTCAGAGGAGCCAAGCGCAGGAAAAGCACTCACGAATGGCAGCAGTAAAGCACAGAAACAGGAAAACGTGGCCAATCATTACATACATTTCCTACAAGAAGAGGCTTTATTGCTTCCATGGCTGATGGGACTTATTTTGAGCAACAATATCCTGCAGCACAGCTCAAGGCCACCGTAACTAATTAAGAGTTGTTAAAAGTTCAGTGTACTTACAGGTCTTTCATTTGGATCAATGAAAAATATCTTAATGATGATTTCAAATTCACCCCAGCCTGTTTCGGTGATTTCGTATGGTGGTTTGGTAACAACTGCAGCAGGAAACACAGAAGTGGTGATACAGGTGATAAAGCCTCAGTGGAACTAATCAACATCCCAGTTCTAGGAACAAATGCCCAAATGGAAAACCCACCTCTTAAAGGATTACCATAGCTTTCATGCAACTTGAATTGAATTTTTTTCACGTAGGCAGACATATCCTAAAATAGAAACATCGTTATTTCTGATTATTTACACGGCGCACCAAACTACTCTTTATTCATCCATCCTACACACCTATCGTTTCTTCTGACATAAACCGAGTATTGATTCCGACTTTAAACACGGTAGGAAAGCAAGACGGTAAATCCAAGAATTAGCACTGGCACACAGGTCTGTCGGTATTTTGTCCCCACGAAGGCTCTCCAGTTTTCCCCTAGCCTGGAAAGGTCACTCCCAAAACATTAAAAGTGCCTTCCCTCTCCTCTTCCTTTCTGAAAACCCCCCAGCCCACGCGTCTCCTCCTCTTACGCCCAAGCACCTTTCTGCACCTTCCTCAAATCCCAGCTTTTTACGACCCGAACTCCCCATTACGGGCCGTGGCTGGGCCCACAGCCCT